GAGAGAGAGAGAGAGAGAGAGAGAGAGAGAGAGAGAGAGAGAGAGAGAAAGAGAGAGAAAAACAAAGCCAAAGAAAGAGAGAGACAACGAAGGAGAGTGAGTGTGAGCGAGCGAGAGAGAGAGGGAGAGAGAGAACGCGAAGGGAAGAGAGAGCAAGAGAGAGAGAGAGTGAGAGAGAGAGAGCGTGTGATCGAGCGAGAGAGAGAGGGTGAGAGAGAGAAAGAATGGAATCGAGCGAGAGAGAGAGGGAGAGCGAGAGAGCAAAAAAGAAAGAATGAGGGAGACAACGAGGGAGAGCGAACGCGGCAATTGGAGGGTGCTCTTGATTCGTTTGCCAGTGAGTTTAGCATCAGAACACCTACCGTTAGGTGAGCGCTGTCGCTCTGCGGCACTTGTTTAAATTATGCAAATTAGGTAGATTTTGGCAATTTCACTATGCATTTTAGTGTCTGCCTACGGTCAACGATAACCCAAGAACTGTTTGACCCACATGTTTCAAATTGAATACAGTTGTTACTCCTATGGGAGAGATTTTAACTTCTTATTTTGGAGCGCGCCAGTCGACCTACTTTCAAGCCACGCTCACTTTTTGGCAAAAATGAAAATGGTTATCTAAATTCATTCGATTTTGTTAAATTTTTGTATGTGAATGTGTAAGGCTAGCCCCAAAACAGTTGTTACTCTTATGGGAGAGATGACAACGTCCTATTACGTTTATTTCGTCTAACTGGTCAACAACTCTACAATCATACCTATATACGTGTAATATTGTGTTTTAGAATCTTCGTTACAGTAATTTGACTGGAATATTTTATTGTTTTTATTTGCGCGATATTCGAAAACCGAAATGGCGATCATTTAGGCGTAGCGCCATCTCTCGTCAAGATTTCAGACTTTCAGATCTGAAACATTTATTTTCGCATCAAAACTTATATGCTAATTATATCATTATCAAGTTTATATAATGGGAGATATATGCTATATAATAGGAGTTCTCCCATATATACTCTTAATTGCTTTATATATCCCCCTTCCCTCTTCTATCACACTCAAGGTGAGCTACAGTGTCATTGACACTTTCATTTCATGATGTTCATTATAGATATTATCTCTATCATGTGAAACAGAAAATACGTGATTGCTTTTATTTCCATATGATCAGACTATATGCTCTATATTTTTCAGTGTCATTGGTCTAAACTTTGACTTTCTCTCATTGAATCTGACTGGTTTTATTGCCTATGCAGTCTTCAACGTCTGTGTGTTCTGGATTCCTGTTATACAGGTTAGTAGTCATTTAGTGCTACTAAATCTATCTCTAATCACATCTGTGGATGTTCTTTAGTCCCTTGGCTGTAATTGTGGAGCATAGGCCTTTAGTAACTGTGTTGTTTAGTTTCATTAACAGGAGTTGTCCAACAGAGTTACTATCTGTAGTGCAGGTGAACTTGTTAGCCTTATACCAGTGAGTTAAACCCATTTCTGCAGTGTGTAGGTGTTGTCCAGGTATCGACGGAAGCAAGTCGGGATAAAGTGCCTTGCTCAAAAGCACAACGGCAGTGACCATGGTGAGACTTGAGCGCTGGACCTTTTAGCCTGAAGTCAAGTGTACTATTCACTAGACCACCACTCCTTCCCACCCCCCCCAAAAAAAAAAAATCTGTGCATGCTGCGTGAATATTAAGCATGTTCTGTATGCATGCAGGAGAAAGATAGTAAGGGGTACCTCACTGACACTGTCTTTCTCCTGATCCTGTATTAACTCGGAACATCTGTGCCATGTGAAAATTTGCGTCATCTGATTTGTCGATTCGTCTTTTGCAGGACGAGTATTTCGAAAAGCATCCCTACGGTGTCCTGCCAGTCGCAATCAACGACGTGTTCTTTGCCCTGCACGCGATCTTTGCAACACTGGTGACCATCCTGCAGTGTTTCATCTACGAGGTAACACTTTTGAACATCAGCATTGTCATCTCGATTTACCTAGGTGTGGCAGTATCGTTCAGTGTCCTGCCGGTATTTCGCAGGCCGATTGTGAAACCTCAAAATGATGGTGTATAGCTCTCGTAGGATGAGCCATGTTGGTTGTGTACGTGTTACGTCATTGAATTAGCTATTGTAGTTAAGGGGAAAGTCAACATAAGGTGAAAATGCATTTTTATGTACATGCATAATTTCCTTTGATAGATGCATGATGTGGCAGTGGTAGAGATACGTGTCAGTCCAAAGCAAATAACGCGTAATCTTCTTTGTTTTATCGTAGAGAGGCTCACAGACAGTGTCAAGACCATGCGTTGGATTTCTAGTCGTGGCCTGGGCGTTTGCAATCATTACACTGTGTGTGGCTATCTTCGGCAAGCTAGCCTGGTTACAGTACTTGTACTTCTTTTCCTACATCAAGTTGGTCATAACACTCATCAAATACATGCCACAGGTAATGTGAGATTTCAGTAAAGCTTATTTTCGTTTATCCAAGGCTAGCATTGATAATTTTAAAAGTGTATTACAAAACTCCGAGAACTGCTTGACTTGCTAACTTTAGATCCAATTCGACCCTATTTCCAGCAATCAGTGCGTGCCCTCATGTTTCAAGCGGTGCTGTTCGAATTATTCCTAATAATTTCCCACCTGAAAGTGATCAGCTAGGAATCTATCTAACCAGCAGGTGGCTAATGGGAATGGCACCATGGTAAAGTAACGCGTGAGGTTCTGAGTGACAACAGGGAGAGATCGTCCCAATGACGTGTCCCTCGACCCCTGACCCCCGACACGTCCCAATAAAACTAACAAGTAACGTTGTGCGAACGTTTTCAGGTGTACATGAACTTTAAAAGGAAGAGCACGGATGGCTGGTCAATCGGTAATATCCTGCTCGACTTCACCGGAGGTTCTCTCAGCATTTTGCAGATGTTTCTCATGTCGTACAACAACGGTATGTGACGCTCGACCCTTCCCTTCCGCGCTCACGCACGCACGCACGCAGGCAATGAGCTCAAGTGGAATAGAAGGAGTTTGGTGCATAAACGTGCTTGTGAAATATGCATGGCAAGATATAATTTCGTGTCAGCATCATGACCGCTCGATCGTCCTTTACATGTGGCAATCTTTTCCGTCAGCGTTTAGATAAGATGGCAACTCATCATGATTCTCCCTGGTAGCTCACCTATCTACGCTTATGTGAATTCATCATGATTCTCCCTGGTAGCTCACCTATCTACGCTTATGTGAATTCATCGTGATTCTCCCTGGTAGCTCACCTATCTACGCTTATATGCGTACTTCCATCCATGGGGTTCAAGGTCACTCATCCGTTCGCGCAAGTTATTTATATGTACTGCTACGACTTATTTGCATTGCGCTTATCAGGATTATTGCAGGATTATGCAGGATTATGTGTGCAACATTGTTAATGCAAGACTTGGCACTTTGCCTATATTCTGTTGCAGATGACTGGAGCGCCATCTTTGGAAACCCAACTAAGTTTGGTCTGGGCATGTTCTCGGTCCTGTTTGATGTTCTGTTTATAGTGCAGCACTATATCTTGTACAGAGGTAAGCCGGCGTACGAACCTATCGTCGGGAATTCCGATAGCAGTGGATATGCTTGAGTCGCCATTGACCTGGTATCTGTAAATACCTCACCCACCCAATACCTACTCTGGTTGTCTGGTGTATCGTGCTGCCATCTAGTGGTTCGTTTAGTAGAAATACTGTTTTGATATGAGTATGCGGTGAAGGAAGCATTCCCGATTTGTACCTTTTCAGGCTTTTGATCATTAATTTCTTTTCAAACTGGAAACTGAAATTTAGCAATTGGTATTAGATTTTGATTCGAGGTGAAGTATTTTGTATTAATTGCTGAAGCGATGCTTTAATTGTGTGTTTGAACTGCATTTAGTTGCTGTGTTAACGTATGGAATAATTCCAAATATGTCATTTCCACCTATGTCAAATAATAGAATGCTTGATGTAAAAATAATTACATAGTACAGGGAATCCTTGTTTAATGCCATTGTCATCTTTCAGAAAGTTGTGACTTTTACTAAAATTATGATAAAGGGAACAAATTTCTCTATAGGATATTTCCATTTGACTAAATACATTATAATTTATATTGCAAGGTTAATATGGTAATAAGGTATAATATGTTGTAATTATATAATAATAAACGTACGTATTATAATATATGTTGAATCTGCATTATGAGTTGGAGCTTATTGGCATTGGAAGGTAGATGAAAGCAATGTAATAATGCAGCATTGTGTGAATGTAAGCGAGTGCATTTGCTAATTTATCAATGTCTAAACGATGCTATCAATGAGCAATTTTAAACCAGGATTTCATGTACATATTTTTCACTTTACTATATTTTGCCATTTTACAAAAATCTCGATCTGTGTAATTATATAAACGAGAGAAAAATGGTAACAATCTTGTACAATCATTACTACCAATTTTTGGCAAAGTGGGGTGACACGTTATGTTGTTTTTCGTGTAGCGCTTGTAGCGTAAAATTTCTGTGCGCTGTGGTTTGTTCCCGCGTGTTGGTGTGCGTATGTGTTAATTATTAGGCGCAATTTGCTACAATCGCGTCCATGTTGGATGTCATTCACGGCTGGTTCCGGATGAGCGTCCTCATGGAAGAATGGATGGTACAATTGCTCGTAATCAGGTAAGTGTCGGATAGCACCTGTGTTAGAGCACTATTTCCCATGTACCATGTCTATATATTGCCTGTGATATGTTTGTCAGGAGTTGGGTATCGCTACAGGTGTAGTTTTGCATATCAGTATCCAGTCATGGAGATTGTCTGTGTGTGTTCGAATGTTGTATGGTTATATAATTACAAGAAAGCCAGGTAACCTTGCTGGTAAGTGTCTGATCTGCAGTTCTAATTGTGTTGCTAACCTTGGGTTCGTTATAGTATTGTATGATCTGCCTCCCGCAGTATAACATGAGTACCACGTCACACATCCATGCAACTCTTTGCACTGAGAATTCTGTTGTTTGGGCATTCGCCAATTCACCGGCATTTCGTGCCTGAGCTAGTCGTGGCGTATAGCCAGGAATCCTAATATATGACTTCGCTAAGAAAATGTTCCTAAATGATGAACTGTTGACATTTCGAGCAAATAGCTAGTGTACAAACGGGCCTTGTGTCGGTTTATTCCCGGTTGGCCTACTCCTAATTCGCCTACGGCAAAATTCCCATTCCACCTACAGCAAAATTTCCCGTTGGCCTACACCCATTTTGTCTACTCCCAATTCGTCTACAATCAAAATCTACCCCATTCCCATTTCGTCTACGATCGGTTTGTTCACTAAATAATCATTTATAAATAATGAAATATGGTTTTAATTGGCATACATAGGCTACAGGAACCAGAAGAAAACATAGGTACATTCTTCTGAGAGTAGGCGAAATGTGTGTAGGCCAACTGGGATGTTACCCTTGCTGAGAGGGTCTATGTCCCCCAGACCCTGGTACTATCTAATATGCCGCACCGTACCTCGCCTACCCCACTAACGAGTCTAGGGAGTCGCCTACGCCTATACTCCCTAACCCTAACTTGAACCCTAACCCTAACCATATCAAATAGTTACCAGGGTACGTTCCGGCAGTACCCTGGGGGACATAGACCCTATGAGCGTTACCCTTGTGCCAGCGAATTCTCTGTTTAATTAATGAGTGTGATGTAAACGTAGGTTCAGATGCGCCGCCATTACCGCACGATAGCTCACGAGCCGACATTCTCACAGTGATGGAAAGGGACGTAGAGTCCGCAGAGGGAAAAGATAATCTGGCGTTCACCATAGCATTATAGATCCCATTGGTAATCTTCCCATGATGTGCTAAACTACATTAGCGAGACGGTAAATAAGCCACAGGCAGGTCTGCAACTGCTCGCAAGAATAAACCCAGCTTAATAAGAGAACCAGCACTATAAAAATGCTGTAGTTATAGTTGCATATCTATTATACTTGGCTACACTACATCCCCCCAGGCTATACCCGTGATACTGTAAGTATATAAACACATTAGCAAAAGTTTGCCAGGTCAAATATGTAAAACTAGTTTTAATTTTGTTTTAATCAGTTAAACTTACAAAGTGATTTCATTATGCCAGGCTCGGAATTAGCTATGGTTATTTTGCACATCGCGAAGTTTGTGATCTTTAATGTATTTTTAACGCGCACAGATTTGTCTAGAGATTATTATCATATTTACCCATACTTGCCATTTAACTCGTATCTGCAGTGATAGGCTTTTGTTAAGTAAACAAGGCTTTTGTTGAATTCACAATTGAGCAAAAACAAGTAGATTTGTTTTTAAATGTGCAGGACTTATTAATGTACATATATTATACATTCTGTATATTATGCTTGTGTGTACTAGATCTTATAAGTCTTCGTGAAGCTGTGATGAGTTGTCTGATGGACCGGTCGAAACAGTTGGTTACACGAGGTTAACACGTCAGTCGAGTTAATATGTGATCATATCAGCGATAGGCAAATGTATGCAAGTCGTACTATAAAAATGACTCATGATTTTTTTACTTTTATGATATCACGTAAATTGTACTAAACTTATTGCATTCATAAATGTGCAACGTTCAAAGTGTGCGAGATGTTGATCATTGAACTGATTTTTGCAAATTTATGATAATAACCAAATATACTGTATATATATACCGTTATTATTTTTCAACTTTTGATAATAATATATAAATTGTGACGTTTTCTTGTTTTCAAAATATCACTTTAAGCTCAACTATGTAAAGAAAGGATAACAAGTGTATTATTTAAGAAATTAGTTAATTTAATAGGGGTAATCGCTAATGGTTTATTTTGATTAAAAATAAACAAACATAAAAAATGTCTAAACATAATGGAACATTTGTGGAAAAAAATTGTTAAATATAATATATAAATAAAGGCCTTTATATGAATATGTGTTAATTTTACTTATGTAATACTTTGAAGTTTCTTACACACACGTAAAAGTACACAGTCCATTGATTTTTTTAATAAATTTATTATACACTTACCAATAAAGACGAAACATGATATAAATTCTAAGATAAACTGTAGATACACTGTGTCACATGGTTATCCATTTACATATGACAATACATAATGAATTGCGGCACAGTAATACTATACAATATAAGATTGCGCCACAGGGCAATGAGGCATGCTGGTCATTGATCCAACTAGAGGTATTGCACCATTATTAGAAATGACCAATCAATACAGCACGCTCGCCTGCTCATTGGACACTGAACAGGGACATCACAGGATAATGAGATGCCAGGCCGCGACCTATAAAAGGGGAGAAAAAGAATGTTCGAGAGGATAGGTGTGGCACCCGAGTACGGAGAAGCGTGCGTATGTTGTGACAGGGACATTAGAATAAACCCGTCTATATTATACACAACGGCTTCGACCATCACTGGCTACAAACATTTACCGACATATACGAGTGACGTGCAAAAACCAACCTTACATTGGTGCCGTGACCAGGATGACTCATTGCCCTGTGGCGCAATCATGGTGTGAAAACTTCAATCTATCATCAATAAGCATAAATCTACCATCGGCCATTATCATATAGAATTTATCACATGTTTGACATTTGCAAGCTACATCCCATCAGAAGTAGATAATAGGGAAGGAGTGTGACTTCAATAAACAAGGGAAATTCGTCATTTACTAGCCTTAGAATACCTACGATTTACTACACGTAACTCAACCAACTTGAGCTCAAATCGTAAACAGTACATTTGCCAAGCATAAACATTTGCCTAACTTGAAACAAAAGGCAGCTACTTACAACTCTTGCTCCCTCGGCGATGCGGTATGGCTCGCTAGTAGCTGCCTTTTGTTTCAAGTTAGGCGGTTTATTCATTCGGTTGGCTGGCAACAGAATGGATAATCGTGTCGTACGTTTTAGTCAGTATCTCCGGATTTCGGGTGTATACAAGGAAACTATTTCGCACGATGCTAGGTGAATGTACTGTGTACGATTTGAGCTCAAGTTGGTTGAGTTACGCGTAGTAAATCGTAGGTATTCTAAGGCTAGTAAATAACGAATTTCCCTTGTTTATTGAAGTCACACTCCTTTCCTATTATCTACTTCTGATCCCAAGGGTCTATGGGAAACTATTAGAAAACTAAAGTCTTGTGTTTTCTCTGACACAGTTCAGTCACGGCATTACAGAGTCACAAAGCTTAAAACTGCTGCTAGTGCACCGTCCAAGTAATGATCATAGGGTCTATGTCCCCCAGGGTACTACTGGAACATACCCTGGTAACTATTTGATATGGTTAGGGTTAGCGAGTAGGCGTAGGCGACTCCCTAGACTCGTTAGTGGAGTAGGCGAGGTACGGTCCGGCATATTAGATAGTACCAGGGTACGTTCCGGCAGTACCCTGGGGGACATCGACCCTCTCAGCCCAAGTAATTTGAGATGTATCCACGTATGGTCACTTTTGCACTCTTTTAAAGAAATCAGCTTTGCTTCTCGTTTGAGGTTCAGAAGGCCTATTCATGTGCCAATAAACAATACATTTCATTTGGATGATTTTGTGATTTCAATGGAAGTTTTCTTACTGCGTCCATCTGACTACTGTCTTTTATCACACACACAATAGATGATACTGGATGATACTGCCCTTTTCAATTCGACCTGCATATTTAAATGTGTACTGTAGTTTTTTACAATGCCACTATATATGGACTATAAGTCATGGTTGTAGTTGATACACACGTGACAGCTAGAGTGCATCATGACATTGCACGAATGTACACTTCACTTTGGAGCAAAAACATTACGATACATGAAGTTTTTCGTGAGCCAAAGTACAAAATACGTACACAATACTTAGGCAGGCTGGATTTCCAGACGTGTGATTAGAAAAGGAACATCAGCAAACATTACATGATTCGTTGACAGAATAACCCGCTGACATTTAATTCTCAATATATATATATATATATATATATGTGTGTGCGTGTGTGCGTATGTACACGCACACACACACGCATGTACACACATACATACATATTGTTTGGCCTTACCATTTAGGAACCAATAAAGATGATTGTTGCCATTATCAAAAATATGGAAATTAATTTCACCAGCAACCATCATGGCGTAGGGGAAGAGAGACCTCAGTGAACATATGTAGGTTGGATATCATCAGAGGAAAGGCTGCGCATGCTTTAAAGGCTACATTATGCACCTTCATGATCGATATCGTGACATATTTATCAAACAGTTATGGAATTACGACAGATATTGTTAAGATATCAAGTAAATTCCGTTGATTTCCCACCTGCACATCTGATATCTAAAGCTATTTTGTTACTTTCCTGATGATTTTTTTTCCTCATTAAAAAACCCATTTTAGTATTTAGGCAAGACTACGTTTCACAGCATGTTTATGAATATTGCAACTTCGTGATGATAGCTATACGGTGGCCCATATGAACAAAACACAAGTACGCGGGTTAGCATGTTGGCAAACATATAAAGTTCGAGAAGAAGCAAATAAGTTTCAAGACAAACACATTTACGGACGCCAACTGCAACTTCATTTGAATGCAACACATGTTCGCAAGTACGCAAGTAAACAAGTTGGCAAAGCAACTAATTATCGAAGCAAATACAAGTTTCCTAAATGGAAATAGGTGGCAGCACTAGCGCCCTCCACCACCTCCACCCACCGTCGGGATTTCGTTTTGCCCCCTCCCCCTCTCCCCTCCCCCACCACCAATTTCCGTTTTGCAACTTGCTGTGTGCTTGCGTATTTGTGTTTGCGTACATGTGTGCTTGTGTTTTGTTCATAAGGGCCACCGTAGATAGCATTTTTCTAGTGAGAATGAATGTACTAGATAGTCACAACACAATTAAACGCACTCTTACTCTCCACTCTTGACCTGCTCAAAGTTTCTTGCAATGACAGCATAGATCTATTAAAATATCAGCCATTTTAACTTGTCCAACACTGTCATTCCTGTAGTTATTTAAGTTCAATTATGTTCGTACCACAGATGTACTTCTCGTCGTATAGGTTCATTGCACAATCCGTTAGTATAAACTATTATCCTCGTTCAAAAGCATGCACGTTTTACTGCGATTTTAGTTCTTTTATAGTTCTTTAGTTATTTATATCAGCACTCATATAATCATAATAACGTTTCACTTCTGGTCAGAAGCATATTTTCCTTGGATTTCACCAATTATACACGCCAAACATACAACTCCTCTCTGTAGATGGCGCCACCTGCAGGTTTCTCATTTCCATTTAGGCCACATTTTCTTCCAAAAGCTGTTGCAGTTGTTTAGCTCCACCTTTAACTATTGGCCCCCACCACATGGCTATTCAGCAAAGTATGAAGGTTCCCAGTGGGGAATCTTTGCAGCATGGCAGGCTATGCACAGTGGGGCACGAAGGGTCGTTGTCGTAACAGGTACTACAGATATGTACCCGAGGTAGTTTTAGGTTGTTTAGTATTTTGTTTATATTTTTATATGAGGTATGTTTAGGGTTAGGGTTAGGGTTAGAGATAGGGTTAGGGTTAGGGTTAGGGTTAGAGTTAGGGTTAGGGTTAGGGTACACTTCTGTAGTACAAGTCTGTACACTTTGTGTATACATATATGTAGCTCGGGTACATATCTGTAGTACCTGTTACGACAACAACCCCTTGAGCCACAGTGGACCTATGCAGTAGTCTGTGGTACAATTAAATACAAGCCTGTGGTGCATGTGGCGAAATTTGCTCATTAATTGAACGTAAATGATCACACGACCAACATACAAAGCCACATTTAAATTGAAATAGCGATGACACTATTGATCAGGTAATCTGCATTCTCCACCTCGCTCCTTCCTACTTGCCATATAGCCCTGTGATGGAGCAATCGGGCAAATGGGCTACGCAGGAAAAGCTGAACTACAGCAACACAGAAGAAAATGTGGTCTACATGGGAATATATATAGGGACCCTGCAGGTGGTGCTATCTATGGGGAAAAAGAGCAATCACACGCCTGACCAGCAGGTAGGCTATTGTAGACTTAGCATACTTTAAGGATGACTGTCAGTAACTTACGAGTCCCTACATGCATCAACTACTCGGCCACCAACTAGCTTGCACAGTCACGGTTGTTGTTACATGTCCCTGCCCCTGGTCTGCTATTGAGCTCCCTCTGCCCCCCGATCTGCCAAGTATCTCCTGTAGATGATGGAAACGTACACAGCCAGTAGAAGCAACACAAACACATCATCTATCAAACCTGCAAAAAAAAGGAATCAACAAATAAAAGTGAAGCCAGGTAAATTATTCTCTGAAGCCTAGAAAACTATTATGCTGTACATCATCTATACCTACATCTCATCCTATTAATAGATAAACACTATCTACAGAATTATTAGAAGATTATATATATATATATTTATTTATTTATTTATTTATTTATATATCGAGTATAAGATCATCCCCTATACATTTACATTTACATTACATTCTAGAATCTATTATGTTCATCTACACCAGCCTACCGTAGTGATCAGCTACCAAAGCTCGCAATAATAAAGTCTCTTACCGAGGATTCCAAAAACTGCCTCGGGAAGAATGTCTAACGGAGATATCAAATAGAGAAGAGCTGCGAAGAAGCAGAGCAGGAGCCGCAGGCGAAACATGGCCATAAGCCCGCCGACGGAGAAAAACTCGCTAACGGCATGTCTGAGCAACGTCGGAAGGTCGTAGAGATAGTCCAGTACCTGAGAAACATGAAGGGTGCACGCACGTACATACAAGAACATAAACTGTTTTCATTGTGTACCTGCAAAACATGTATACGCTATATTGTACTCAATTACTGTAAAATTAAATAAAATCTCAAGTAGTCTAGCAAGTTTTAATGTGAATACATTTACATGCGTACACACATACACAAGCACACATGCACACACCAACAAGAAACAACCGACATATTTGGTATGTAAGCAAAGGAAATACAAAAATGAAAAAGAAACTCTAAAGCGGGGGCATTTTAATTATGTTCATTCTTAGGTGCTTCTCTTTACGATTCACTCCTGTTGCAATACATACGCTCCTAGGTTCCCCGGAATATCTTCTATTGTATCCATTGATGTCCACTATTAATTGATTTCTTTCTTCTATATCTTGCTCACTGAGTACTGCCTCATTGAAATAGCATAGCAGCACTGTAACCTGAATAAAAACAGTGTAAATGTAGAGAGGCAGGCTTACTGCATGACAAACTCTAACATTTTAAAGCCATAATTACTGGTCATTGAACTCTGATGTTATTTACATTATATCCTCCGTCAATCGTGCTTACACCATTGTACTCTCATATACACATAAACATCCAAATTAATAATTTTCACTTTTCATGCTAATACTTGGAAGTTCATTCAATTAAGAGCTACTAATACATTGTGCATAACATGCATCATTAACTCTTGATTCCATCTATATCTAATAAATAAAGTAATACTAATATATTATTATTATTATTACTATACGAGCATATCTCTCTACCAGTTCTTTCTCACCTGTTGCCTACATACAGGACAGCTGACTGCCCCTAACCATGTACCATGCTGCCAGTAGGTTATTATACACAGGCCTGTGTAAAAAATATTCAGCAAAAATCAATAAATTTGCATTCACAATATGCAATTAGGAAACATTCAAAATCATTAATGTTTCAGAATTTTTAAATTATAATTTCTTGGAATGTATAGACAATAACATGATTAATTTATGAGATTTTGGGTGTTTCTTCAACTCGTTTACTTATACAGACTCTCTAATTTTGGCACAGACTCCTAGACTTTTTGAGGGCAAAGAATCCAACTACAAAATCATTTCTGCCCCTGAAGCAAGGATCATTTCTTCACTAGGCAAAGAACATTATCACTACAGTCCACAACTAAAAAACTATTCTAAATTATTAACACACAATAGTGATAGATTTGACTCACCGCAAAACATGTGCCCACAGTTTGTTTCCACGGCAAATCTGGCATGATTGAGGCAGATTGGGCACTGCATGTCACCCCCATGATAACGCCTAAAGGTTCCGTTTTGTGACTGCCTGTCCTGTTCAACATGCTCGCGAGCAGTCAGGACGTTCTCCTGGTAGTCTGGATGTATAGCCTGCCCACCATTCCGCCGCCTGCTAAAACAGCATTACTTTTACTAACCGTTTTTAATCGCCCAAATCAAATCGCAACCAATAAATTATATATTGCCACTATATTTTCACAGCATGCCGTTTGCGAGATTTCTGCGCCACTTTGCGTGATTTTTTTTATCGCTAGAGGAAATTCCAGCAACTGCAAAGGCAGGTGATTCTAACAAGTGACAGTGCTAGAAAATAGATACAAAGGTCATGGTGACTGATGGGAGGATTTACACTCGAATCATCTGAGATCAAGAGCTCTGCTTGTCCCCAACTTATTGTGCGAGTGCTTTCCTACCTACTCTTATACATGTGAACCTGGGCAACACCATGCATGAGGTCTGTAGAGCAGTATGTGAGCGGCACCTAAATTGTACTAATGCGATAAAGCATGTCATGACATGAATATTGTGATTAAAATTTTGCAGTAGTGTTTAAAACGAATTAGTATATATTCACTATTATTTTATCATTGAAATAGCCAGAGTAGGCTACGTGGTGTAGAGGATGGGACATGCTGTCGCTGATGTTGATTAAAAAGAGATAGTTTACACTAGGTTCTAGGGTTATTTTCAGTTAATTTAGGTTAAAATTACGCTACATAAAAAGTTTCATGGTTCAATCACCATTAGAAATATTATTAAAAAATGTTTTAAAACTAACGACTACAGTTTGATTACAACGACGGTGGCGCCACTCAAAGCGCACGATCTGAGAACAAGGACTACAGACCGAGGGTGTTTCTTATTTATTAATTTAAAAGCAAAAGGATTGCAATATCTTATAAACGACATATGTATAGTTTCAGTTATATTATGGATAAATTTGTCCTAAAATGAACATCGTTCGGTTAAATAGCATTTAGGTATGAATATAATTGCACTTTTGTGATAATAGCCCTCGGTCTGTAACGTGCAAAATAAATTGTCAAATACGCAACTTTTTCAGGGTGGCAGCACGGTCGCGGGTGTCATGGCGCCGTTCAAATTTTGTAGCGTTGATGTGCAATTAATTATAACAATCAAATTAGGTATCTGGTAACAAATACGTGTAGGTATAGACGATTTGTTATACAGTAAATACAGTTATATGCAGTAAAATCCTAGAGTCTACTATCCCTTTAAGCAAAGCTTACACAGAAAGAATCTGTAATAATAGTCTGACTAGGCTCTATACGACTTCATGGCATAGGAGCCCGACACCTTCCATAGGAAAATCCTTGTAACTTGAAAACAAATGCCGAATTTCGTAATTAAAATAACCGTCTTACCACATTTGACCCAACTTGTTACATATTGCAAGTGTATTCTCAAATGTGGCACACTTCCTAACTAGTATTTGGCTTGGTATTCATGTTATAATCAGACAATTTGGAAATGTGTTGTTTTTGAAAGTTGGCAATCTTCATACTTGCATTACTGCATACTGGAGTCACATGCACGAGAACTAAGTAATAAGAGACTATAGAAAGAGTGTGGGAAAATCATTCAGAACTCAAACAGTAATAATCACCTTGTTCAAATTTCTTCCTTAGCAAATCTAAAAAACGCTTGCTGACATGTAAATACATACTTGGCGATACCAATAGCGTGCATATGGTTGATAGTGGTGTGAAAGTACAGAGAAGCGGTGAAAGCCATAAGAAGTTGGGTATTGGTACGTTTTGCTACAGCGCTTTGTTAGCTACAACTTCAAGGTTTGATCACTACATCAGCTTGTGACCTTTCGCCACACAGAGAGAAGCGAGAAGGTAACTTAATTATGGCTAGTAGTAGTATAGCAGGTTGCGAAATTAACGGGAGTACGGAGTCAAATGCTCCCTGATTTACTGTAGGACTCCCTGATTTGACATATGCAGGAGTCCGTGTGACTCCCTGAAAATTCTGCCATACTAACTATCCTCGCGGTATTACCGTATTTTTTCAGCTAATGTCCAAAGAAAATTTGGCAGACGTGCAACCGCATGAATCTTAAAAATAACTACATGCGTTATTGTTAATATCTTTAATTTTGAAACCCAGACTGCGGAATCCCTCATTTTGCTGCGGACTCCCTCTTTTTGAGGGTAGGGAGTCTGTTGGACTCCCGTGTTCAAAAGTTAATTTCTACCCCTGGTATAGGCAGGGCATGGGCTAGCTCTAGTACTATAGCCCGCGTACAGTTGCTGCAGGCCTGCCTGCGTAGGCAGTAGGCGTAGGCTGCAGGCATAGCCTGCATCAAGTTCAACTGCACGCGGGCTATACTCCTATACTATTTATAGTAGTACTAGTAGTACTACTACTACTACTACTAGTCTAGAGCTAGGCATGGGCCTGTGGCGGAGCGAAGGGCTAGAGTTCTAGAGCTAGTAGTAGTAGCGGTACTAGTAGTAGTACTAGTAGGCCTAGTAGTAATTAGTAGGTCCTATTACTAGTATTAGTAAGGTTTACTTTGGTCTTTAGCGTTTAGGCTGTACCTAAAACTAAGTCCCATGAGTAGCAGCAGCAAACCGATCACGCAACCAATTCCATAAACGACTTCGTCTCCGATTCCTTCTACTAATGTTCCATTGACAGAACTCATTTGGGAAAATTTGTTCAAAAATTTATCATTATTTTTGTTTGTTATAAAATTAGAAGAACTAAGAAATCATTTCTCAAGGCGTCCAAAACAGGAACACGTGCTGCATCGGTAGCTTAGCGCTATGCTTAGCGCTAAACCTCAGCGCTAAACAACCCGGAAGTAAATTTGGTTTGTGTTGTGGTCAACACAAAATGATTTCATTGGCTGATTTTGCAATAAATTGGCGCTGTTAGCACTCACTGACACACTATTTATGCATATCCAGATTCTTTCGTGAGAGATCGGTAGTTTAACTGCTTCTTCTTGTTAGTTTTGTTAATTATACACAATTCACACGTACATGCACGTCTTCCACAACAAATGAACTTATTGAGAGGTTTATGACTGGATCACCAGATAAACAAAAGTGCGCAATGGGAAACTTGTGATGAGTCATCCGTTGCCACCGCCGCCGACCGCTCCGATGGTTCCAGCAGTGCCGAGTGCATAGGTTCAGTCGATTGACGGTCCGAGTGCAAAAACGTTGCTTGCGATGCTGACTTGATTTGCGCTCCGATCATTGTGGTTCGAATTCATCTAGGTGTTTTACGTGTGTTACTGTTAGTTGAAGAGTTACATTGATAGTTGAAGGAAATCTGCAAGTGTAAGTCATAATTTCTTTTTTAGTTTTACCGTCTAGATCTATAATTATGATGTAAAGAATGTGTGTTTGGACTTTGGTGTTGTTTCAATGTTTGGCTTCTCAGAAGCCTTTTGTTTGTTTTATCCTGCTGTTACTACTGTAGATGGGGTCGTTGTCGTATCACTATTAGGTACCTACTACAGATATGTACCTGAGGTAGTTTTAGGTTGTTTAGTATTAACTATTATGTTTATATTTTTATATGAGGTAGGTATGTTTATAGGGTTAGGGTTATAGGGTTAGGGTTAGTGTTAGGGGGTTCAAGGATAGAGAACATGGGTCCAAATAAAACCAATGTCATTTACAAATTACATCAATATAATTTATAAATATAATATTATATCAATATAATAGAATAGGGTTATGGTTAGGGTTAGGATTAGGGTTAGGGTTATGGTTAGGGTTAGGATTAGGGTTAGGGTTAGGCACATTGTCATTGGTTTTATTGGCACCCATGTTCTCTATCCGGGTACACTTCTGTAGTACAAGGCTGGTACACTTTGTGTATACATATATGTACCTCGGGTACATATCTGTAGTACCTGATACGACATCGACCCCTTGAGCGTTACTACTGTGTTGGTTCAAGGATGGAGAGCATGGTCAGCCTATGTCATTTTTGTCAATGTAGGGGTACTAATATAGCAGTGCTGACGGATCAAGGATAGTTTGTGAAGTGTGTACTTTTTTGGTGTAAATAGGTATGGTATAGTAATAGTATTACTCACTATTAGTAATTCGTATCATAAATTACATTCAAACATTCATAATGGGATTAGCGCTGTATTCAAACAAGCAGTATGTAGTATGATTTGCCCAAGGATATAAGAGCTGGCCACATTTGCACATTTGCACATTGCGAACATGAATTGTGGTCAGCGCTTATATCCATTACCACGTTAGGCATTATTACAGTATACACTTCGTTGACATTTTGGATTAGGTTCATCGGCATGTGCCACTACTACATGTGCCACTACTAGTAACAGTACTAATAGTAATATCGATGTAGTACTATAGTAGCGACTATATTTGTCTACTGTAGTATCCCCATATTCAGACTTCATACTCACTGTTAGTGTTATTAGCCAGCACCCTAACCCTAAGCCTAACCTGGCTACCATGATGCTACTACTACTAGATATACCAATTCGTTTCACAATTTCTATGCTATGAGATACTGGCCTCAATGTGTTCCGGGTAACACTCTTACCCTCTAAGCCTAACCCTGCAATAATTACAAACCCGAAGGTATAATTCGTAGTCAGTCCTACTCCAGGACCCAGGTTTATAATAATGCCATAATGGGTTTGAGATTGGATCAGGATTATGGTTATAGGGATTAGAGGTTATATAGGATTAGATTGATGATGATCTTGTTGGTGATCATGATGATTATAATCATAATAAATGATCATGACTTATTTATAAGGGTATACTAATGTAGGTGAGGTAACCAGTGGTCATGAAGGAGACTTGGCCCATGTGACCAGGGTGTTAGCCAGGAAAAAAATCAGGGAGTCTTACCATCTGAGCGAAGCGAGGATGCTGCGGGGGCGAAGTGCCCTATAGGGGGAGGTCATCACCCTATAATGGAGGAAATTAAGTCTGAAATGCCAAAAAGACAGGAATCTGATATTATTTTATATTCTTATAAGTACTGTTGTCAGTTATACAAGGTGTTTAATATATAAAATTGGGCCGCTCTCATGCTGTCTATCAAATCTCATCCATCTCATCCAAGAATAGGCCGTCCAAAAGACGAGTAGACGGGTCTCTGGCTAACACACTGGCATGTGAGTATGTGACTCTGGAATGTCACTACGGTTTAACTGTGTAAAAGCATACAATACTAAGGTAGTTATATTTGTTTGGTTAACCTATAATAATTTGCATCACCTACTTGTGGTTGCGTAATAACCAGCTACGCTTGATTATCGTTATGGGGCAATCTGATTGGTCGCGAGTTGCTGACAGTGTAAGATAGTTTTCCCCTCAGTTGTGCATTTGCATTGTCAGGACTAGGATTTCAAGATGGGCAAGCTTTCGGGAAAGTCGTGCCGGCTGATATGCATGCTCGGTCTCACCGGTGGATACTTTCTCGTCGAAATCATCGTGGGATACGTAACAAACTCGATGGCCCTCGTCGCCGACTCCTTTCACATGTTATCCGACGTGGCCGCGTTGTCTGTGGGTTTATTCTCTGTCAGGGTAAGTAGAAGCAACGTGAGCCGCGTACATTTTGTAGCCATGTGTAATAATACAGGTGTGCTGTTGCTGTTTTTTCCTACTGGACTCGTCGTAGTCATTTCTGCCTTCGGGTATACCCACAGGCTGCTCTTGCAGCCTGCACACGTGAATGCCCTTTTGTAGTTCAAAACAGGTTCAGGGGTAGACAGCAAGCTTTTGTATGGAAAAAATTAAGGTGGATATAATGACCTCTCTATCGAAGGTTTTCTGTGAACTAGCCAGTGCATATCGCTGACATCAGCAGTAATCCGTCATGATAGTTGCCTGTTGGGTTATGTGTGAGGTGTTGTCTATTCTAGGCCAGACATTAATGTGTGAGGATGCGGGAATTTATGCTGGGGGCTATCTCGGTGCACACGACACCAAAACACACGACACTCTAGCGCACACGACACTGAGAACAATCAGCCGATCCCACGTATGCTCATATATGTCCAGAATAAATGCGCGCCTCTGTTTACCAAGTAATTTCCACAGACAATCGTAAATGAATGTGCACAGGTTGATGGAGTTTTCTAGGCGGAACTGGGTGTGCAGCCAATTTATGAGAATTTTATCTAGTATTGGCAGTACATGATGATGATATATTGTCAGTGTCACTATCTATCTCACTTCATATTTTACATATATGATAATATTGACATGCTCTGCCAAGTCAATATTGTATGACGATAATCTTGTCTAGGGTTTAGACATGTGCCACTCATAGTTATTTAGAACAAGGTATCAGGATCATGCTGAATATATTTCCCATCCAGATGCAGCTTCTATTATAGTAAACATGTTTGCTCCCAGCTGGTGTTATTTCTAATGTTATTCATTACACTTAAATGCATGCATGAACAAGGATGTGTGGACAGAACTTGTTTGTACTATCTCTTTGCACCATAATACTTTGTGTGTCTAACATGAACCAGATAAGATTGAAGTACTTTTACACACGTGATGTGCAAGGAAGTATTTGTTTAGATACAAAGTAATCCAGTGCAAATACATCTATCCTGAGTAATAACTCAGTCTGCACAAAAAACTTCCACCCTCATTGGCCCAGCGGGCCTGTGAAATGTATAATTCACTGGCCCACACTAGGTTTAACAAAAAGTGATTAAGAGAGTTTTCTCTTATAAGCGGTCATGTAAAATATACAATACATACAGTTGTAGTGTCTTTAGGTTAGCTAATAGCTAATTAGGTAACTATTACGGAAATAATGTTAACTCTAGACTGTGAGACGAAATTAATAGCAGGAAAATTGTGATTTCAAAGTTAATTCTAGATGCCATGAAATGGCTCAGATTGCAGGAAAATGCTTCCTTACCCCTAGAGCTTCTGGGAGCCTGTGCGGCAGTTGCTGGGTCTTGGCCAGCCCCCGCGCAGACTCCCGGGCTGTGGTTTTAGTTTATTTCCTACCCCAGCAATCACACATCTGCTAGGGGCCTACTAATAAATCAGTCATTCACCTAAAACGTATCATTTGTGCGTAAAGCCTGCGCCACTTTCAGAATGAAGGCTGCTCGACAAGCTTGTTGTATTTGTGTTGCAACGCTTATAATACTACCAGTGTCAGACACACGACTAATACTAATACTAATAGATCATATCAGAAGTAGATAATAGGGAAGGATAGGGATAGGGGGAGGGTATTAATAGGGAAGGAGTGTGCCTTCAATAAACAAGGGAAATTCGTTATTTACTAACCTTAGAATACCTACGATTTACTACGCGTAACTCAACCAACTTGAGCTCAAATCGTACACAGTACATTCAACCTAGCATCGTGCGAAATCGTTTCCTCGTATACACCCGCAATCCGGAGATACAGACTAAAACGTACGACACGATTTTCCATTATGTTGCCAGCAAACTGAATGTATAAACCGCCTAACTTGAAACAAAAGGCAGCTACTAACGACTCTTTGTATCTGTATCTTGTATCTTTGGGTCCCTCTCTTGTATTTCACAAGGCACTGATTCTCTTGGAATGTGCGGGGAAATCTTGTAGATCTATAAGGAAATTCTGTCTACAAGTTAGCATTAATTATTTTACTTTCTCTAATTGATAATGCTTTTCTAACATATTCTAGTGCTGGTTTTAGTATTTTCGGGTCATCATTTTTTCCAATCTTCTACTCGTTCCCCTTTATTATACCCTCTATATACCTTACACGAGTATAAATGTTCCAAATTTTCTTTTTTCCTTTCGTCACACAAATCACAAATATCATTACTGTAGTTAATTTTTAAATAACTTTTTAAGTTAATCATGCACGTCTTACACCTAAACACAAAGCATGCATCATCAAATGACAGTTGTGTCATATATATGGTTTAATACATAGCGTTCGATATTTATCATTTTCATTTTTGTTTTCTCACCAGACCTCATGGTATCTCTCATAATTACTGTTTTTAAAATAGCCTCCTTCACATATTTTTTTCCATTCTTTCTTATGTTGTGAACCAATAGTCATAAGTGACATACTTATGTCATAATCCTTCAAGATTTCTAAAACCTCATTTGCCCAATTACTTCCAATTTCTATAATTTGTTCTAAAAATACTCTTTTCATTAATCTGTCATTTTCTAACTTAATAATGTATTGCAATAACATTAACTTTTTATAATATATATCTTTTATTGGTATTATTCCACTTTCTATTCTTAGTGCCTCTAGTGGTGTCTTGTTGTGACACCACTAGAGACTGACTCTTGCTTCCTCGGCGATGCGGTGTGGCCTATGGTGTGGCTCGCTAGTAGGAAACGATTTTGCACGATGCTCGGCGAATGTACCGTGTACGATTTGAGCTCAAGTTGGTTGAGTTACGCGTAGTAAATCGTAGGTATTCTAAGGCTTATAAATGACGAATTTCCCTTGTTTACTGAAGTCACATTCCTTCCCTATTATCTACTTCTGATCATATACATGTCAGCCGAGTAGTATCTGGCCATGGCTGTTGTGCTTCTTTAACCATGAGTTGTGACGAGTCTGAGTGTACATAGTGGGCCATACCTGAACAAACACGGAACCACGAAAGTTAAACTTGCTCTACATAAGACTAGACAGTGTGGTAAAACCTGCTTAAGATGCATAGTTGTGAACTTGTGACTATAGAATTAATGCTACCTATATTCAGTTGATGTTGTCGTTACAGCACATCCGTATTTCCGTAGAAAATTATTGCAATTTTAATTGCTAAAAAAAGGTAAAAACCGAGTGCCCAGACGGTCCTAATCCTGGAAGTATGTGTGCTTATTTTTAGCTTACTTTACCTGGCCTGTATTAAATTTGTGCCAGATGCTATATCAGGGAAGGTGGAGATATTGTATTATCATATATGCAGATATAATGCTTAAAAACAACAAAACAAACAAACAAAATTTGGTTGTCTGTGAAGAAGGTAGAATGGCATATAAGTGTACACAGCATTGTCTAGTCAACCTTGGCTAAATGCGCTGGTGCCCACGCACGACATTCCCTAACCTATATTTAGCATGTAAATATATGGATACCATAAAACAGAAAGCACAAGTGTGGGCCAACTTTCGGAATTATCGGCGTGGAATGGCTTTCATTAAACATCACATCAGCGTGTTAAAGAAAGACCCTCACTGAGCTGCCACTTGGGGGTGGTTGTATTATTCGGACACGCGTGGGGCTAAATATTTTGGGCATGCATAACTAATGTTTTTAATACCGAGAAACCCCGCACATAAAAGCTTCTTCTAGGGTGAATTCTTGGGAGGAGACACTTCCTCGTCTTGCATAAAGTAGTGAGAGCGTAGATTGTCCAGCAGGGGGCGCTGACGCAGCGTGTCATCGCTCGCAGTAGTGAGAGCGTAGATTGTCCTGCAAGGGGCGCTGACGCCGCGTGACGTCGCTCGCAGTAGTGAGAGCGTAGATTGTCCGGCAGGGGGCGCTGACGCTGCACGTCATCGCTCACAGTAGTGAGAGCGTAGATTGTCCAGCAGGGGGCGCTGACGCCGCGTGACGTCGCTCGCAGTAGTGAGAGCGTAGATTGTCCGGCAGGGGGCGCTGACGCTGCACGTCATCGCTCGCAGTAGTGAGAGCGTAGATTGCCCAGCAGGGGCGCTGACGCCCCCTGCTGGACAATCTATGCTCTCACTACTGCGAGCGACGTCACGCGGTCATGCGGCGTCAGCGCACCCTGCCGAACAATCTACGCTCTCACTACTGCGAGCGACGTCACGCGGCGTCAGCAAATATACGCTCTCACTACTGCGAGCGACGTCATGCGGCATCAGCGCCCCCTGCTGGACAATCTACGCTCTCACTACTGCGAGCGACGGTCCAGCAGGGGGCGCTGACGCCGCGTGACGTCGCTCGCAGTAGTGAGAGCGTAGATTGTCCGGCAGGGGGCGCTTATGCCGCGTGACGTCGCTCGCAGTAGTGAGAGCGTAGATTGTCCGGCAGGGGGCGCTGACTCCATGTGACATCGCTCGCAGTAGTGAGAGCGTAGATTGTCCAGCAGGGGGCGCTGATGCCGCGTGTCATCGCTCGCAGTAGTGAGAGCGTAGATTGTCCAGCAGGGGGCGCTTATGCCGCGTGACGTCGCTCGCAGTAGTGAGAGCATAGATTGTCCAGCAGGGAGTGCTGACGCCGCGTGACATCGCTTGCAGATCTCGAGGAAGAGCTCGTCGAAGAACACGTTCGGCTGGGCGCGCGCGGAGGTTCTCGGAGCGCTCGTCAACGCCGTGTTCCTCGTTGCGCTCTGCTTCTCGATTGCCGTCGAATCGGTGAAGCGCCTCGTCGAGATCGAGAAGATAGAGGACGAGAAGCTGCTGCTGATAGTCGGCAGCGCGGGCCTCGCCGTCAACATCATCGGCCTCTTCCTCTTCCACAGTAAGTGTGCTGTGTGTTCCACAGTAAGTTTGCTGTGTTGTGCTACCAGCCTCTTCCTCTTCCACAGCAAGTGTGCTGCGTGTTTCACAGTAAGTGTGCTGCGTGTTCCACAGTAAGTGTGCTGTGTGTTCCACAGTAAGTGTGCTGTGTGTTCCACAGTAAGTGTGCTGTGTGTTCCACAGTAAGTGTGCTGTGTTGTGCTACCAGCCTCTTGCTCTTCCACAGTAAGTGTGCTGCGTTGTGCTACAAGCCTCTTCCTCTTCCACAGTAAGTGTGCTGTGTTGTGCTACCTTCCTCTTCCTCTTCCACAGTAAGTGTGCTGCGTTGTGCTACAAGCCTCTTCCTCTTCCACAGTATGTAAGCTGCGTTGTGCTACCTTCCTCTTCCTCTTCCACAGTAAGTGTGCTGTGTGTTCCACAGTAAGTGTGCTGCATTGTGCTACCTTCATCTTCCTCTTCCACAGTAAGTGTGCTGCGTTGTGCTACCAGCCTCTTCCTCTTCCACAGTAAGTGTGCTCCATCTTGCTACCAGCTTCTTTCTCTTCCACAGTAAGGGTGCTGCATTGTAGCTACTGGTGCTACCACCCTTCTGGGTACGTATATATATATACGTACTCCTGAAGGGTACATATATACGTACTTCTAAAGGGTACGAATTGGACTTGGGGGAGGGGGATGGGGGAAGCTAGCAATTCCTAGAATTTTCCTAGAATTAGAAGTTTCATTTTCTCAGGGTATGGCCTGGACAGTCATGCAAAATTGTTTGCTATCGGGTTTTGCCATTTGGCCTTGGAATTGCATCTATATCAATCTTGTCAGAAATGCACTAAAATTTGCTTTGTGCAAGAGTTTTGTCACAAATTACTGGCTGGCCGATACAAGGTATGAGAATAGTATTAGGCTAAAATCTTGCAATCACAGAAACTGCACCATTTGTGTCATAGAGGCAGAGCTCCTAGAAAACTGGAAAACGGTTTTGGATTTGGCTCCTTTATTATTATTTAGTGTGTTTCCTTGTTCTGTGCTTCTGTTTCTCTTAGTAAATGCATCCCCGTCTGTGCCTCTTTCAAGGTTGTCTTCTTTCCAATCTTCCCAGTCTTTCTCATAGCGTTCTCGCACGTTCTTTTCTCACATGTCTCCGTTCTCGTCTCTGTAACCCAGGTCACGGGCATGGCCACAGTCACGGCCACGGCCACTCGCACGAAACAGCGATATCGAACCAAGCGGGGCGCTCTGTTGGCGGTGTGCGGTACCTGCAGTCGGTGACGGAGGAGCCGGACAGCGAAGATGAGGAGGTTTCAATAAAGTCGGACGGCTCCTGCGCCATCAGCAAGCTTGCGAAAGGCGAGCCGCGCAAGGACAATGGCGACATCTACACGGAACAGCAGCATCAGGAAAAGGCGAAAAAACTTGGTAATTTTATTGGGAGGTTTCTTGTTTAATATATATATATTCTGTGTAATGCCCGTTTCGGGCTCCTAGGCAATTACTGCGCGCAGCGACGTTTACGTAGTCGTTATCGTCTGCCTGGTAATTCTGGCTGTCCTGTGTGTGAGATTCCAGAGCGAGCGCGGAAAAGCTGAGGTTTATGTGCGCGTGATTATAGGTATGTTCACATGGGTTGCTATTTACACCAAATGGATGTTTCTGGGTTGCTCTCATAACGTTTACATATAAACTGTGAGATTAGCCAAACGACTATGCGAATTTAGCAAGTACCATACGTTTTAGGTAAAGGTGCATTTATGAGCAGGTTTATCTATACACTGTGTTATCAGAAGCTATATTTATATTATGGGTGGTAAAATTGCAACCCATTTCTAGTTGTCTTTCATTGCTGTACATAATTTCCATTAAGTGTGGTAAGTTGGCGTGTTTTTAACTTTTAGAACCAAAGACTATTCATTATCATATTTGACTTAAATTAATAGCAATTGGTCCAGTGAACCCATTCAGGTGTATTTAACTTGGATAATTCCACCTACATTCAGAATAAACTGCTTGTGCATGTTTACTTGTGAGTGGCCTGAAAACCATATGCCTACAAAGTCCACAAGTAACGTGTGGTATTTTCAGCAGTGGGACATTAACAATTAGATAAAAGGGCTAAGTCGTGTTTGAGTATCAGAACATACGGCCTGAATTCTTGCTATAAATCTGTGCTAGTAGCAACATTTGCCCCGCTATCACCATGTGTATGACCATTGTTCTCTAAGGTAGTACCCACATGATTCTGCTTAAAGATTTGCGATCGTGATAAAGGGACAGTTGTGCAAAATTCCATAGACCCTGCCCCAGCCAAATGAAAGGTTAAACCAAGTGACAGGTTGATTTGCGATTCAACCGTTCCTAGAAACCATTGATATTCTATGGTATTCTCATTGGCACAGCTAATGTCGCTTGCTGTATGTTGCTAATATCGCTGTGCCATTGTGTATGGCTGCTCGGCATCTTGTGTTGCTTCAGTACCATGTGCAGTGTTGAGTTCCTCTATGATTCAGTGTCTGCACTTAGGCCAAAAGAAAATATAGGTGTGGTTACGGTTTCACGACCGACCCTATTTATTCCTAGCGACCCTAAACATTTTATTCAGTTTAAAAAAATTAACATTTAAAAATTTAAAAATAAAAAAATAAAAAATTTTATTTAAATTTTTTTCAGTTCCTTCGGACATGGTTCGTAAATAAAATATTTCAAGAAAATAAAATGTTTTCTCTACCTACCTACACTATTTTTTTTCGGCATGTAACGGTAACCACACATATATTTTGTTTTGGCCTTATGAGAGACTGAATCATGGAGAAATGTATGTGCACGTCTCTCGATTTCAACGGAATGCTCATGCTTATATAAGTGATATCGGAAAGTCCAGCTGTGCTAGTTAGGTCATAGAAAGAGGGGGTATAAAATGGCTGAGGCACGTTTCGTTTAAATTGCATTTTAACACATACATAGCAAAATATCCCAAATGACCACAATCATATTTGTAAATGTTTCTGTAAACAGAAACGCACCTGTGAATTGAAGTACGATGATGAAGAGAATTATAGATCAAAAACCTAGACCAGTTCTATCCTAACAATGTTATAAAAGGGCAGTTTATACCCCTCTTATCTGATCTCAATATGGCGGCGGGGACTTTCCGATATGGCTTATATCCTTGTGGATAGCCTCAATTCAAGCTGGAGTGTTCTTCCACACTTGTTCACCCTTCCTTCGTCATTGTTTACAGCCTCCAGTTCACAGCTGAACATGCGCGGTGTGTTCCTCCACGTTCTTGGAGATGCCCTTGGTTCGGTCATCGTCATCATCTCGGCTCTCGTCATCTGGCTCGTCGAAGGAGATTGGAAGTACTACATGGACCCGGCGATGAGGTGAGAGAGAGCGGAGAGAGTGAGAGAGAAAGAGAGAGAGGCGAGTGAGCGAGACAGAGAGAGAGGCGAGTGAGCGAGACAGAGAGAGAGGCGAGTGAGCGAGACAGAGAGAGAGAGAGAGAG